TTTTATCTGGACTTGAAATACTTAAGGATTATTTTCGAGCAAGCCATATAGTTCGGGCATCATTGGGGCAACAATTTTTGGTGTTAGGAACAACTTCGAAAGATGCGTTTGACACGGAATTTCGAAATTTAGGTGCAAGATTGAGATATTTGTGGGGTTTGGAGATAATACTAATCGAAGCGATTGATCTAGTTGCATATTGGCCGGATCGAGCTATCCAACAACCAGCTGTGCATATTTTACGAATACAATATCACAACATTTACCATCATATCGGGTTATCGGTGTTTGGTCAAGCCTCTAAACCATGGTATCCGATAGAATGTTCTCCTCATACTGTGGAAGACTGCTTTGCCAAATTACAAATGGTAGGAACAGCTGTAACAATTTTAAACAAATATTTTGTCGACACAGCAACCCCCTATAGAAAACAGGATCGAGAAACTAGTTTAAAAAACTGGTACAACGAAGGATCCCAAGAACGAAAACTTTATGAAATTGTGAAGCTAGCAAATTTTAATCACTTCGTCCATTTCTGGACATTCCAGGATGCTTCGGAGACTGCCAAGCTAAATATTACGGCTTGTTATGATCCACCATTTCCTATCGAATTACCCACAGGGTGGGCCCGATTCTCATTTATTCTGGGAAAGGTACAAATCTACGACTTCGTATCTTGCTACAAAGTAAAATCTGATACATTTGTACTAAGCGCGTTGACGACACCGTTTGATGTGCCATCGTGGCTGTGCATTTTATTCTTGTTCTTAATTACCGTACTTGTTTTGATGGTTCTGCCACGATCAATTAGTTCCCAGGGAGCATTCGTTGCAATTGGTATAGTCTTTGAGAATTCAGTGTTAGGGGATTTGAAATTATTCCAGGATAGATTTCGCACAAAGTCGACAATATTCGGGGTGCAGGTACTAATCGGAGTGTGGGTTATAATGACTGGAACGGTGCTAACGAATTGCTACAAATCATCGTTTACAAAGGAAATGATTTTCCCTATGACGTATGTACCACCGTGGAACTCTTGGTTCGATACTGAAGGAATGGAAGCGTTAATGCCGCTGAATATTTTTGACGTAATGTTGTTGGATCCCATACTTCCACCCTATATCCACTTCATGATCCAGCTGCGCCTTAAAGTTAAATATTCTTTTAGAGCACCCAGGTAATTTTGTGTACTTGGAAAGTTTTTAGTCCGAGGTTACGATATCGGTCATATAATTAGTCGCTGGCAAGGGTAGGGTTGGTAGATCCGATAAAATCCGATCCGAAATTGATCCGATAAAATCCGATCCGAAATTGATCCGTTATCGATCCATAACTAATAACATGGATCCGACGGATCGGGTCGGACCGGATTCAGCGGATCCATGTTATTAGTTACATACGTCGGATAATTGCCGGATTATCCGGTTCGATCCGTCGAATACGGATTACCAATTCTAGACTTGATTGATTGATTGATGCTTTATTCAAATGTCTAAACAAGAGTCTCATGTTTCCTTTTCTAAGCCATCTAAACCTTAACACGTTGCAGATACAATAGATTTGTGGACCTTTTCGAGGACGCCATGGGTAAATCTCAAGACGGAAAAGGTACTGACGATGGTGAAAAAATACCAGCTTTTCGAAACCCAGTTGATCTGATAGCATATAACATGATCCGTGCCTCTCCCATCAAACCGATTCAGTACAATGAAACAGATCGATTATTGGCGAAACTTTCGACATGTGAGAAAATATCGTATCTAGACACTAAGGAAAACCTAGCTTTGTTGCTCCCATTCCTAAACGATAATGAAGCCAACATAAAGTACTTGAGTGGTTCTGAAACATTTTTAACAAAATATTGTGCCTGGTTGATTTACCCCGTTCGCGGAAGTTATGTCGAAAAGAGGCTAAAAATAATGTTTTCGTCTGGAATTCATGCCCATTGGGAGGCTTGGTTCCGTATAGCTAATCCTCCCAAGTTGTTTCGTCACTATGCAAATTGGACATATCCAAGGTTTAATGGGGTATCACAATTGACTTATAATTCCAAGGTTGTTACGGGATTTTATATCTGTGGAATTTGTTTGGTTGGTTGTTTACTTTGCCTTTTTTCTGAACTATTGAGTACATGGATAGCAAAAAGTTAAGATTTGTACAATAGATTAAATTTGTTAAGTGGTACATATTTAGTAAGCGTGTTATTGACTAACCCGTGTAAAACTGGAACCTATTTAATTATGAAATTCTAAAGACCCAGAGAAAGGGTTGGATTATCTTTAGTTGGAACTCCGATCACGTTATCCACATCAGGGAATATGTAGAGGCGTTCATCGGGTAACTTATGATTATTTGGTGCTTTCGGTTTAACGTCAAATATTTAGGATTAAAATACGAAGGACAGGTGGATTGTACTAAAATTATATAAATTCAAAATCTGAGGTTAATTCTAGACTTATTTTGCCACTTTTCCGCAAATTATACTATTTGGATGATAATGGTATCGTGTTATCGTGTATAAAAATCGTTGTTGGGAACCAGTTAGGCTTTTTTACAATTTATGGACCCTTATAAAATTAAGAAGTTTAATGTGCATACTTATTACTTGTGCCAACTTGTTGACGTTTGGGTGCAAATTTATTGTGCTTGAACCTCTATCCTACCTAAATATGTAGACATGGACATATTGCTGCTTGTGTGCAGTTTCCAAGAAATTGTGCCGTGGTCTTGTAAGAAACCATTCTCCAACGGGGTGTAGAGTTGGAGCATTAGATCTAATATATGTGTATATAAATATGCGCCTCGATTCCATGTATCTCTTCTCAATCAACCATAATCTCACTTATGTGGGATTTGAGGTTTTAGAAAGCTCATCTCACTGATATACCGTGGCATCCTTATTGTTTTTCTATTTTTCCCAGAACTCGAAAATATATATTTGTAAGCATTTGGGATTTGATAATTTTGTCTAATACTTAACTCGTAGTGTTAAGTTGCTCCACTTAATTCAAGTATAGTAGATATTCCACCCAGAAGCAAATTCTGAGAAAATGGACAGCTCTTATTGATTATTTAATCGAAGGGTGAAAACATTTACAGAGATATTTGTCCAAACATGCTTGCTTAATGATAATATGTCTGATATATACTGAAGTATTTTCTGAAGGCAGAAAGTTAAATTAGACTTTTCAAAAAAATAGCCTGGCTTGAAATATTTATTTAAACCATGAATATGTACTGAATCAGTATTTACTTATCATTGTTATGAACTGCTTGTTTAATTTGATTCAATAAGAAATCTCATAACGTGGACTCTGGAACCGCTTAAACATTTTCAGTTTCTTTTCATTGATAGCTAAGGACCTAAAGAAGCAATTACACCAGCGTATGACTATAGATTTGCTAACAAGACCTAACTATTCTCATCACTTTAATAACCTGAGAGATGTCTGACGTTCCATATAGTCACGTATGTACTGAGGTAGGACTGGGTAAATAAGTGCGAAGAAATCTATCGAATTGAAAAGTATTTTAATAAAGCTAATAAATGTCTCTTGCATAGCTTTTGAACGAATTTGTATTCGCCGAATAAAAATACTACTATTCGTAGGTAAAATACCACAATATTTCTGTCTTGTTTTCTCTAAGAAATCGCTCAAGGTAGAAATATGTATACATATTTTATTTAAATATTCAAATTTATCAGTACAATTTAATTATAAAATTTTAAAATATCACCTGCTCCTAACATATCCCAACTTCTTGAATGCCCTTTAAATAACGACCATAAGGAACCTATGTATTTATATGTAAAGTCTACATGCTACGTACATAGATACTGACTTATTTAATTTAAGTAAAGGACCAGAATCATGGAAATGAGTGCAAACAAAACCAAAAAATGTAGTCCAAAAGTCTAAACATCAATCTCTAGGCATTGAGATTTGTCATGGGTTGTAACTACATACGTATTTACATTATATATTCTACATGCCTTGTGCCATATTCGGCCCCTAATCTATCCTTATTAAGGTTAAGTTATAAATATATTTATGTACCGATCATATTTATTCCAGACTATTCCAGTCCACATCTCAATCTTGTTAGTATTAGACCAAGACAACGGGGAAGTCGCACAAAATCTTTGACCACCAGCGTTTATTTAATACGGGTCGAGTGGAATTCAGTATAGCGAGATATGTATTTGTTAGAGGAAAGTCTTTTCCAAGTTGTCAGCCCTCATTGATTAAATTCTATATTGGTTCATATACAAATTACATATGGTATGTGTGTAGATAATATAATTGAAGCATTTCGTGGAACTGGTGGGACCAAATTACAATTCCTTGCCTGATGACTCCATTTTCTAAATTAGTCGCAAACCACGGCCCTACGTGGAAGGATCTTCTACGTCTTCTCCTTTGTTCGCCTTGTTAAGACTCCCACGTCAAGTTTAACTTTTAAATTAAATTTCTCCGGTATTTTAAATTTGTGTCAAATTTATTTCCTGGAGTTCATACTTAAAAGGTAATCATTAAAACCGTCATCCGTTAGAATACCCGTGCTGAAACTGATTTAGGTGCGGGTTTTCTGATACGGTAATAAATTAAATCTAGGATTTCTTAAAATTATGTATGTATAAATCTGCATGACTCGTGGTAGTCGCGGTAATACTTGAACCTTTTGATACATCCATTTGTCTCAATTGTAATAAATAAATATTTATTTATATACATATTTCTGAATGTGCAGGTAGCAGCAAATTTGGGAAAATAAGTTCTGAAATTTGCTAATTTTTTTAATTTAAAAAATGCACAATATTTTAGCATACACTAAACACCAAATATAAGTGTACAATATATAGAATACATTTTTCTTAGTGACGCAAATACCAGGCAACCAAAGAAATCTTTAATTTTTTAACTTTAACTGTTTTACGATTTGACAAATATTTTACCACAGGTAATAAATATTTAACTTGAAACGTCTTTTCCTTACAGGTGACAACGAATAAGTCAAGATTTTCGAAATGTTCTACCAACTTTTGACTATGTTTGTTACTTCCAACGCAATTCGTATCCCAACCAACGTCATTCCCAAGGAGCCAAACAACTTTCTCCTCTCCGCAAATGCAACTAATAATTGGCGACTAGACTGTCGCAACTTATCCCTCGTAGGCCCAGGTGGGTACCCAAGACAGGATTCAGATTTTCATGGTTACTCTAATTTTTCGCGATCATCCTGCGTCAACATTGCACCAGAGATGGGAAACTCGTTCAAGGGAATTGCCTTATTTGGTAGGTGTCTTATTAAATATTTTGTACTTCACAAAACCACTTCCATTTAGGGCCCTTTCCTAATCAAAAATCCCATTTGTCATGATTTCCTCAACTTTCTACAAGTTTGTTTCACTTCACTTGCAAAATTATTTGGTATCATATTTCGGTATATTTGCTCTTTTTCAAATCCAATTTTGTCCTCGAATGACTTTGAAGGAGTAATTATTTGTTTGAGGACATTATCCAATGTTTAGTTTGATATTTTAGGCCGTCTGATACTATTCCGAAAATTGAAAGACAATTTAAAGGCTTTCTATAATTTGTGAAACATTGTGACCAGGTTGTGAATATTTTCTACCAGAGATGCGTGTTTAGAGTTTGACAATAGCCTTTTCTCGAAATCTTCTAACCCTTGCATAACTCTTCAAAATCTTTGCATAATTTTGCACCGTTGCAGAATAAAATATACAAGATATATCTCCCGTTTAGAACACACGCCAGGAATAAAAATGAAGGTTCATTAAATAGGTGTGGTTTATTTTAACAGATTGGGAATCGGTCCGACTCCACAAAAATAAAGGCTGTGAAGGGACCGGTCTTGAGGTTACTAAGGGTCGACCATTTGAATCTAACGAAATTTTCTTCTCGGTTTCTGGACCAGATTATGGAAAGGTTGGACCACTAGCGGTGTCAGAGTAAGGAGAAATTTGTATCCTTTCTTAATTAATCTATTAGACAAGGGGGACATTTATAATTGGTGGATACTTATCAATGATAAGTTATCATTATCTAAAGGTTAATTGATTCCAAAATACTATTGTTTAATTTGTCCCATCCAAATACGTAATATTAGTTGCCATACATATGTACACGTTTTTATTTCCTAACATGAGGAAATCTCGACTAAAAATTCTCAACGTGTGGTCCCCTAAATATTATACTATTTCAACTGGCGTAATATAATTTTTTTTTTGTCTAAGATTGCCGTTAGCTATTTCTTAATGCATTAATTGTTATCCTCACCTACACTCAGAGAAATTGGGTGATGATTATCACCAGGTTTAGACGTATATGACTCTACCGGATTGGTGATAAACTTCTTCACCAGTGGTGAGGAATTTGTCACTGATTTTAGTACATTTATCACCATTGGCGATAAATTCATCACCGGTGGTGATGAAGTTTATCACCAATCCGGTAGAGTCATATACGTCTAAACCTGGTGATAATCATCACCCAATTTCTCTGAGTGTACATATATAGATAGACGTATTAATTAGTATTTGAAAATGGTAAAAAAACAAGGAAATTCTCAACACAATTACTACTTTTTCGAAAAAAGTACCCAGCCTGGTTGGGATAATTTGCATTTTCGTAGGGCTGTTTAATTAGCACCCGGACTAAAAATACTCAGAGTTATTTCAATGTTCGAAAGCAATTAGAAAATATTTACTTTCAATTATGCGACTTTGATTTGTAACAAATTATTAGAGTTCAAAATACTGGATGCAATCGGTTTCCAGCGTGTTATCATATACCCCACTAAAAACACAATTCACTAAATTTAGCTACATAATACCCAACACAACGTACCATTAATTTATAATAAAAAAAATCTCTCCTTAACAAACCTTTCAGCGACTTTGTCTCCACTTGCGAAGTGTAAGAAGAATGGATTCCTGTAAAAAGCTTCGACAACACTAATGGAACAACACTGGTCGATTGTACATGGAGAGAGCGCGAAATCCAAATAATTCCACCAGCTGTTGATTCCGGAATAGTTCCCATTTCTTTATCACCCGAACAGCCAGTTGTCTACGGACACGTACCATGGCCAACTGCATGGCGGTTGCTGCGCAGGTTTAACCAAGAACTGACTGATAATTGGTTAAGGGAGTATGATACTGTGGCTGGTGGTTCGTCGCAAAAAACGTTTAGCCGTACGTCATCAAGTTCAACTACAATTGAACCCGGTTGGAGACATGTGACGGAGCAGCTGATTGCAATTTGTAGTGAGTAATTTCATGCCAAACAAACTTATTTCATAAATTTGTGTAAAATTGCTTGAACAATTATTATATGTATCACATGCACTCCTCAGTTAGTGGGGAATCTTAATGAATTTTTAGCAAAAATATAAATTCCCATAGCTGATTTATACGTCTGAAAATTAATTATGTTGCAGAGAACGAGTCTGTCCGTTTGGGAGTTTGGATGCATTCATATCGAAGCCGCGCTTATGACAAAAAAATGCAATATTCGATCCAGACACGACACATAAAGAGGTACACACTTTGACCTTAACAACAATATTTACTAAAGTGGTGTTTATGTTTCATGTCATCGTCACGTCCTCCTTCAAATCCGATTTTTTGATTGGCTGAACGAAATTATCACTACGACAATTAAAAATTTTAACCAATCAAAAAATCGGATTTGGAGGAGGACGTGACGGTGACGTGAAGCATAAACGCACCTTAAGTTGAAGCTCTACTTCTATTGTGTAAATTAATAATACTATTGTAACATTCTAGCTCTTCACGAAGCACCCACCGGTCGGAAACCCAAACGCGGAACCGTTCATTAGGCGATTCTCACCCCTGGAACTACTCTACCGTAGGGAAGAACTATGGCCTACGCCCGCATATGGAGATCGAATTTCCGTACCGTGTACACCAACGACCACATTCACTTGTGAGTGTTCAGATGCACCGGTGGTGAAACCAAGTCCACGAACACGCTCAATTTACGGGTGAGCAGCAGTGTACGCTATTTGGCAAAAAGGCATGCCGAAAATAATGCCTTTTTGCCGTAAATGCCTTTTTCAATGCCGGATTGCCGTAAACCGTGCCTTTTTGCCGTAAACGTGCCGTAAATGCCGTAAATTAAAATCTATGGCCAAATTGTGAGACACTTCAACCATGTAACAATAAAAGTTAAATATTTTTCTAAATGTTTTTAATTTTAAATAAATTTATGCATATCATTTATGCATATGTATTGATAACCTGAGATAACTCTCAATACAAAGTAAACCACCAACTATTAGAGTTTGCATTACAAAGTTTAAGTTTTCTTATATATTTAAATACTATACGTTAAAAAACAAATAAATTTTAAGAAATTAAGAAATTTTTTATATAGTCAGCTTTTTTAAATCTATAACAAAAATGGATACATACATGCATGCATACGTATTTATATATACAAAGCAAATACATATGCCTAAGGAGTTACGCATTTAAAAATTACATTTGCAAATTAAATTGAAAGACTTACACATATATGAATCAGAATCCAACTTCAATTGTGAAAGTTCTCTATCATATTTAACTCTTCTAGTGATTTTTAATGTTTTAACGAGTTTTCATATGTAGTATCAGTAAACAATAACCGATTTTACTCTTTGTTCATCAATTAAACTATTTATTCACCAGAATATCAATTACACTAGTTTGCATGAGAGTATTTTATCATTTTGCCCCATTTTTTGAAAAAGGCATTTACGGCATTTACGGCAAAAAGGCATACTTTTTTGCGATGCCTATTAGGCATTTACGGCACGTTTACGGCAGGCATGCCTTTTTGCCCTAGAGTACACTGGTGAGCAGGCATAACTACTTGGTTAGTGGGTGGTCACACGACCATTGTTAACTAAAATTTGAACGGTGGAGTATACACATTTTTGCTTGCTTAGTATATTGAACTTAATATACTCACTTTGAATCATCTCTACATAGATATTGCTGAAATAATGAGAATGAAATGACAATGAAAATCTTAAGATAAGTATATTTTTGAATTTTTATTAAATTGAAAATGAATAAATAATATTACTTACTTAAAAAGAATAACGTGAAGTTTGAATTTTATTTTGCCAATGGCATCCATATCTCCACACCACTAACCTTACTTGAATCATAATAAAAATTAAGATGAAACCACTCTTTTGCGAGACCGACATGTTGATAATTAACAAATAGTGTGTATTTTTATTATAATGGTTGAGGAAAATTAAACGACTTTCAAGTACTTAGATATTTATGAGAAATCGAATATTTGAATATTGATCTATTAAAATTAGCCATTTGTTACCCGGATACTTTGATTCTGTGTTTATCCTTATTTTTCAAGCGTGTGCATTAGACGACAATGCTTGTTCAGATCATAGAAGCGGAAAAATTTTCTCCCACAAAAATAACAATTATGAGTTTTCGACCCGCCATGCATCCGTTTTAAATGTTCAGTCAGGTTATTCTTCCAATAGGATTTGTACTCACACTTTCCGCAGCAATGGCGTAGTTCCTTACTTTTGGAGTGGATAATCTTGATGTGACAAGCCAAACCTTGTGATGATGATAAGGTCGTGTTACACAGTTTGCACGGGTATTTTTGCTTTTCATGGTAAGTTTCGACATGAGTTTGAAGGCCCGATCTAGCAAGGCATGTGTAGGGACATTCTTTGCATTTGAATTCTTTTCGTAAATGCTTTTCCAGGTGGGTTCTCTAAGAAAAAGGAACAAAAATTGAATGCATATCTTCAGGTGAGCTTTGCTGAGTCATTCCGGCTGGTCTCATTCCACCCCATGTTTCCTTATTGTGAACTTAAAATTAACTTTTAGGCGTTAATATTTAATGCGATTTAAATGTCGCTAATTTAAAATATTAAATATTTTTAACTTAACAAAGCCGCAAATTAGATTTTTGGAAAACATAGCCCTTGAAGGAATTTATCCCTCAGAGGAAGGGAATTTGTACCAAAAATAAAATCTACAATTTGCTAAGTTAAGAATACAGAATATTTTAAAGTAATAAAATTTAAAAAATGAATATTAACGGTGAAACGTTAATTAAAAGTTCTCCATCAGGAAGCATGACAGCCTGGAGGGAATGACTAATCGAAGCTCGTCTTGATTACTTCAGGTCTGTAATTAAATACCTCGTGTTTCCTCATGTCGCCCGATTGTGAAAATCGTTTTCCACAAGTTGAACAATTGTGGGACTTTTCAGTCGTGTGGGTGACAATGTGGGAGTCGAGAGATTGCTTCATTTTAAACTCTTTCCCACACAGGATGCACAAGAATCGGACGGGATTCTTGGCGTGTTCTGCCTTAACGTGGTCGAGCATGCAACCCTTGCTCAAATATGTTTTGCCACAGCTGGGGAACGTGCATGGGTATGCTGTTGTCCCGTCGTGGTGTGGATGGTCTGCGTGTGATCGTGTAATGTATTGGCCCGTGAAAATTGTTTATGGCAAATGGCACATTCATGCTTAGGTCGTTCAGTGTGCACGATCCGGAAATGTTCTCTGAGACAGGCGGAATTTTTAAGGGTTTTCTGACAAACCTGTGAAGGTACGTAAGAACGTATTTACACATTATTTAAGGTCGGTTTGTGATATTATGGGAAAGGTAAGAATGGAGGTCTCCCAACGTATGCTTAAAGATTTGGACCAAATTAGTGTGAATCGACCACGACTATAAATAGTGTCAAATTTGTAAATGGAACTATACGTCAATGCTCTAGTTTAGCGGAGATGTTTGCACAAACAGAGGAGAAAAGCACCTGGGAAATTTTTGGTTTTTGAAATTTGCTGCGCAATTATCCCGCTTAGGATCCAAATATCTCCGCTAAACCTGTGAATTGGCGGATAGTTCCATTTGCAAATTTCATACTAATTAAATTGGTGATCGATTGAGGTTTGTTTGCTCCAAATCTGTGAGCATACGTTGGTAGACCTTTATTGTAAGTATTGTAAGGTAGCTTAAATATGAGGGCAAAATTTTGTATCCGGATATCCCAATAATTTAATGTATGTTAAACCACCAATTGATTTATACATTTGGGAAAAACGCAAAATATTTTCTCAGTAGTGTGAAATGAAAGTAACTTACTTGAAACTTTACTCTAGCACCTGGATCATGAGTGATGATATGTTTGGATAAATTCTGTTTGGTGGAACTAACGAAAGAGCAGGTTAGGCATTTGAACCTTTTATCAGGTGTGGATTCCATTGGTTCAAGGGAAATTTTCCCTTGTCTGCGGAGAGTCTAAGGCTCAAGTAAGTCGATAGATTAAAATTTCATATATTACAAACAAATCATTATATATAGATAAGATTGTAAAAATAAAAAAAGTAAAGATAAGACAAGATAACATATTATCTGGAACCAATTAGGCCAACCTTAAGGAAAGATATCGACCGAGTAACTACGTCACAGAAATTGATGAAACCCTTGGAAAGAAAGTGTGCCGGTGGTCGAAGGGTGTGGCTTGTTTTCCAGAAACTTATGCAAGTTCGAAGATTCCCCACGACGAAAATAAATGCGTCACTGGTTTCAACTGCACTTCTGTCAAGGACGGATCTGACTGCACGGTGGACAAGATACTTGATTATGTTTTAGATTTCACTGTTCCAAAAGGGAAGCGTATAGACAAGTTTGAGGGCTTGATGACCGGAAAAGTGTGCACATGCGCACCGAAGTAAGGCACGGCAGTTGGTGATAAAAATTTCCTCACGGATGTTAGATTCAGGTATTAGAGGTGTCTATAGCGTCATTTGAGCTTAATTTTGAAGTCGGGACATAAATCTATATTTAAAAATTGTTTTTAGTTAGGAACAACTATGTTTAACGGGTTTGCATTTGTCCCAACAATTTTTTGAGTACCGGTGTAATTTTTAAAAGTTAGAGAAAGTAAAGAACAACATTCTATGTACTTACAATTAAGGGCTGTGAATCTGAATAGATACAACTTTTTGCATTCTTTTGGATCCATATTTAAGTAACTATTGCGCCCTGCACCACATACTGGCAGCCTCATTAGGCACTTACTTATGGACATGTGTAACATATTTCTAATAGTGAAGTATGTATTGCCACTATGTATGTAAAGCGCTGAAATAGTAATTAAATGATAATTCCCATATACAGCAGTTCCAAACTCAATAACCCACCAAAATCTATTTAATTTTCTAAAAATAAAGGTTTATTCGCTATCATTATCAATAAAATGACAACACTTAAATTTAGGCATCATGGATTCATTATAATTAAGCGAAGGTGGGTACAGCTACAGTTTTTTGAGGATTAAAGATCCCCCGCAAATGAAAGAGCAACCTAAGCTGTACAAACAATGTGCTTTTGAATTATACCAAAAAAATTGGGTATAGAAATAAATCAATTATGGACATACGAATCTTTTATGAATCCAAATGTTTCTATTATTTTGCCTCGCAACAGTAGAAATCCACATTGTTTAGCGAGGTATCATCTCCAACTAAAATAAATGATTCATTAAACCTAAACAAATTACTTGTCTTTTGCCTCAACACTTACAAAATAATGTGCCCTCAACTTGCGTCTGAATTCCACAAATACGAGGATACTGTTTAGGGCATTTGATCAATTCGCTGCAAAACTTTTGACTCCAATTTGACCTGTACAGACAGGTGTGTACCCCAGATGTTGTGCATGACATGAAAAATCCGTAGGCCGAGACATCATCTCCGTCTCCTTGTGGCGGTAAGGTGCAGAGTTTAAACCCATCGGCGAATTCCTTTAGCTTGGGGCATTGACAATCGATCCAATCTCCCCAGATACCGGCAGAGCTGGTGGGGTTGTCTGCCACGATTCGGCCGTCAGCTGCAAAAAATGGAGATCGGGGACTTAAAATAGTTTTAAATAGAGTTAAATTAGTTAGAGTTAAATAGAATAGTTTAAATAGAGATTTTTCAATAATCTAACTTTAAGCAGGGGGTAATGGCAAATTATGCCCGTTTGAAAACCGTGTCTCGAATTGTGCAGAATATGGGACAAGTACCCTATTGCAAAACCTTGACAGGAGGTATTTGCAAATTTTTGCAGTGCTCAATTCCGTAGACAACTTTGGGCCACATTCTGCACAATCCGTCCTGCATAAAGGTTTTATGTCAATTAGGCAGAAATCCTAATTAGCCCAGTTTCCTGCAGAAAATTGAGCCAAATTGCTGCATAAAATCTGATTAAATTTTCGTACGGGTGTTGTGCATGAAATTATTCAGTTTGCAGAGCTGAAAGTTTTAAAAACGTAAGCTTTCGAAGTGTTACGAAAAATGCAGCGAAGGCCGATTCCATTAATTCCGGTGTCGTCGGGAGTCCCAAGATCTTCATATTTTACGAATATCCCATCGGCGAATGATCCCCTGGGACAGAATTGCGCGTCACCCCAATCGCCCCAATTTGTTGTTCGTTTTGATTTAATCCACTCCCCCTTATGTCCTCCCTGTCTCCCAGAACTGACAAAAGTAAAAAGTTATAAACTCTGGTGATTTCAACAGCATTTTTATTTTACTCTGGTGCAGAGTTTGTTCCCATTGAGGTGCTGCTTGGCTCAACAGGTGGTGGTCCAACGTGGGAGTGAAATCCCGCAGAAAATTGGAGATGCAGAGTAAAGACGAACAATAGCAGAATGCACGACATCATCTTACGAAGCGTAAGAGCAGACTTGTAATAATTGCAGAGGATGTCCCTTAAAATTGAAAACATTGGCAATTGTAGCTAAATTCAGTTTAAGTATGCACGGAAGGTTTCATTGTATTGTGTCCCAATTTTAATAGAATAAGAACGGATGCCAATTAATGGAACAAAAGGAAAGTTCTGTCACGCTTAAGCAATTAAAATTTGTATCGAAGGCTAGTTAAGCACGGAGGTTTGATTGTGGTTTTCAATAATATTAATTACTTAGGTACGTTCGCATAAACAATTTCGCTTGGAGATCAACTTCTTTTATGACAAACTTTTTTCTGAAACATGTTGTTTGGATGACTTGGGCTATCATTTTCTTAAGTATTTGTGAAATTTTTCGGTTTTAACGATTTCAAATCATCGTTGATAAATAATAAGGGATATCTGTGTACCAATTACTTCAAAATTTCGGACAGATCTAGCACGGGGAACTTTTTATAATTACATTAGCGTCATATTTTCCCCCATATGTCGAAGATTCTTACCGGTTTGGTAACTATATATTGACGATTTCGGGAGCGACTTTATTAATGCAAAATAATCAGCAATACCTCCCAAATACACCATGGTCCGTTTCATTTTGAGCATCTGATTTTTTCTCGTGGGCAACGAAAAAATTGTTTATATCTTTTTTTACAAGTAACTTGCAGTCTTCAAATTTTTTGCACAATGAAGACAAAGGTTATGCAAAGTTGTGAGATAATTCGTGCTCGTAGGAAAGCGTTCAGTGCCGCAGGGTCGACTGATATACAAATAGCGTCAGAAATAGGATGTTCTCGAGAAACCGTTCGTGTCTGGAAGAACAACAAAAATTTCATGGGCAATTTGAAGCCAGAAAAGTCGGTAGAGTTGTCCCCTTCAACAAAAATATCAATTAAGTCCCATATGTACCGGAAATCTAGTACTTGCCTGCATAAGTGTGTAAAGCGTCTAAATTATCCAAAACGGTATCGGAATAAAGGCGAGAAAATCAGCAAGACAACTGTTCAAAGTGTTCTGAGCAAAACAAAATGGGGACGGAAGGCATGTAGAAGACCAAAAAAACCTTTACTCAGTGAAAAATTATAAGAGATAGAAAAAAATTCGGCGAAATGGTGCGAGATCAAGGTTTCCTGGACCTCTGATGACGTGGTCAACAAAGACGAGCTGGAATTATTTTTGGGGATGAACCATGGATAGAATTATTCGGAAGGACCCCCCTGAATAGGACAGAAGAAAAAATGACGTTCCGCCCGTTTTAAGACCGAAGCACATCCCAAGACTGATGGTTGCTAGAGGATTTTGTGCAAGAGGGGTGAGCGACCTGCATACAGTACCAAAGGGGGAAACCATTACAGGACAGGACTACAGGGAGTCAATTTGGCTGCATATTCTGATGCTATGGACTCTTCTCTAATGTTTCCAATTAAGAAAAAAATAATTTTTCAAAAAGATGGAACCCTCAGCCACACGGCAAAGGCAACAAAACAGGCTTTGGATAGTCTGCCTTGTACCACATGGGGGAGGGGGTGTGGCCCGGAAATAGTCCGGATATAAATCCAATTGAAAATTTGTGGTCTATTCTCAAGAATTCTGCCTATGAAGATCCACAATCTAGGAATCTGGAGATGCTGGAGGCTCGTTTCCGCCAAAACTGTCACAATCTTTTAAGAATCGGGTTGAGGAAATATTAGACAACGGTGGTGGACACACCAGATACTAGGGTATAACCCATAAAAATTTCAAATCTTAATATATATTATTCATGGAGATGATAACCCTCAAACTTTTGTAATTTCAGATGCTCAAAATGAAACGGACCATGCTGTATTTTATCAAAGTTTGAAAGAGAATCATCGCGGGGAATTTTTTAACGTACATATGTAAATATCCAATTATTCCCCATTACTGGTGGGGAATCCGGTGGGGAATTCTCGTCTATGATAAATTTTAATGATTTCTCGTTTAAAGAGTGATGTGGTTGGTGATGAATAATCAGGAATTTTTTTGAATGCTTGATTGGTTGGGTCTGGAAATTGCAAAATAAAATGAAAAATCATGTATAAGAAATAAGGATGGTTTACATAGATTACCAGCCTATGAATCAAGCCTTTTAAAACCTTTTTTATTCCAGGGCTCCTCTTATAATTATTTGGAGACCTTATTATGTTAATGTCTCAATGCGTATTGTAAAATAAGACTAGTTAAAAATATGATAAGTGTATTATTAGTAGTAAATAAGATAAATACTTATGAGGAAATAAATCGCATTGTACAGATATCTCAAATCTCGCAGGTATGTATTTACAATTTATGTTGCATGAAAATGCTTTCCAAGCCTGGTCGCATAAAGAGGATGGAGCCAAAACAAGTAAGGGAGACAAAGTTTTGGTCCAAAACTTTTGGATGGAGCGGTAGAGACTTTCACATTAAATCCACATCTGGAGGAATGGTTGGAAAATTGTGAATTTCAAGTTTCATCAAAAGTAAATGAAATCTACACCCATTAATTAATCGACGTTAATAACTCAACTTCTAAAATAGTTGTAACTATTTTGGACCCCAGGTAAAGTAATTTCCTTGTTGAAAGTGATATAAGAAAAGATAAATTTTATTTACTACTTATTTTTATTCAATCAACACACCAATCAATTGTGAAATGTTGCACTTACTTTAACTTAATATTCCGAGTCGCCAATTGTCCGTGGAACTATTCTACAAATTTACTGGTATATAAAGAAGTAAATACATCGTCCACGCAAAATTGGGTGATTTTAAGAAAGTCTGACAACTACCGTTGTCTCCACTAATTTTTGCTTTCGTAATTATTTACTAAGATATTCGATGAAATTTTATTTGATATTCTCGTACAAATTGGTAAATGTTGAATTTCCTTATAAATACACATACATCAGATTTTCACCTTTAATGACGTTTTAAATAAGTTTGAAATGCGCAGCTTAATCCTACAAGCAGTTTCAAATAAAAGGCTATTTTACCAATAATATTGTTAAAATTGCTTTGCATTAAAAATAAAATATTGTACATATCATGAATCATCTCTTTTCAGAAATAATATTCAAAATGTCGATTCCTACGCCAAGCCAAGGAGCTAAGGCCCATAACAGAATTGATGACGATGTAAAAATAATTTTTCAATTTATTTTTTAACGCTTGATTCTGAGTAAGAATTAAATGATTCGACAAGCAGATCCGCCGACTATTTCAAAAGTACAAATACTCTATTGGATTATGTTCCCCACATGAAACGAATTAAAACTTAGCAATTTTTTCAGGCGCCAAAATTTCCTTTGGGGGGTTATGAGAATAATGGGAGATAAATGTGGTGCACATAGGGCACAGCATATCTATGAAATGGGTTGATGAAATTTCAAAAACAAAATTTTTTTACACTCTATGGATCAGTACCCCCATAGGTTTTTCGAACTGAGGTGGAATTCCGACTTTGAGGGGCTTTTCACAGCGACGCAAAATTGACTCAGAAATTAATTTTTCGCTATAACGAAAAAGTATGACGAAATGTTCATACATTAGCTTTTCACCAATTTTTACTACGTTGCAAATTATTAGTAGTAGAATAAAGGTTAAATTACAAAGAAAGTCGAAATCGACATGCGTGACCTTTTTCGGGGATCGAAAGGTCACAATGTCAAAGGTCACATTACCCCATACATGGGGTATCGTTGGAAAGGTATTGGCGAGGGGATTCAGAATATGTATACTTTGTGGGGTCTGAAACCACTCCCTGCAAGTCTAGAGGCCAAAGAATTTTAGAAACTATATCCGTCAAACTACGACAAAACCATGGAATGTCCTAAAGGTTCATTAAGTCCCCCAACAGTCAAAAGTCCTAAGAAACACGGCCCTGAATCAAGAGAGGCGTCGCGTAACATGTATGAACTATCTCGACTGGAAAGTTGAGACACGTAGTGGACAATGGCATAAATTATTGCAGACTTTCTCAGAACCCGCAATAGTAGCATTGTGGCAATAGCAATGGTAAATGATGACCAATTTGTCAGTTATGGTCAAAGTATTATTTACTCGTGGTGACAGCAAGCGCATACATAATCCTAGAATTTGTGCAGTCCTCTAATTTTTTGGACAATTGCCTATGGTTGGTATGAAATGATTTAAAGTAACCTTTTTTAGCCAAATATTCCATCTCTAGATACGCATATAGCTCTACAAAGGACATAACATATTGGGAACTTGATGTGTGACATTGATATTCATAGTTACTGTTATTTTTATGTTTTCTGCTTAAAGTCCACCCTGTCTCTGAGTGTCTTAATGTTACGATCAGGGTTATTACTGCCAGAGGAGAGCAAATAAGACCAAAATTCCCAGCATCAGAGTTTAAATCTCTCCCTTCCTGTTTCATTGCAGACTGTTCGAGGAGAATGCCGAGCTGTTGGATCTGAATCCTGTCCGATTTCCTTGCGCCCTTTGTGGATGGCAGTCAAAATGCAGAGCAGACCATCTTCGTCATGTGACCACACACACCGCAGAGGAACCCTATGCGTGTCAAATCTGTGGAGCCAGATTTCGCCAGAGTACTTGCCTAAGGCGTCATGAGGTGAGGCGAGGAATAATATTTCTAAAACTAGTTATAACAATGTTGTTCTAAATTTTCCTCAGCGGATACACAAGAGGAAACCTGAGGAGGCGAATGTCACCGTCAACTGTGAGGTAAGTTGGTTAAGAAACCCATTGTCACAGTCTACATATTTGAATACTACTTAATACAGCGTTATATGTATGTATTCAGAAGTTATCTCTTGAAGGGGTGATCGTATTTATTTTTGGCTTAGAAACATTTTTCCAACACAACAACAATTTTGAATTATCTAACTGAAAAATTCCAGAAAGATTTCATAAGTGAAGGAAATGAACATTTTTTGTATAATATTTTTCATTACAAATATTAGTGAAATTGATTCTTTGCGTGACTCCGAAGATTGTATGAAAATAAAAAAAATCGGAAATAACATTTTGCATACTTTCAGATTTGTGGAAAAACCATAAAGAATACTAGACAGAGATATCATTTTCTCGCATTCCACAATGGTCGACCCAAGCAAAAATGTGTTATTTGCCATCGAGAATTTATACGACCATCAGAACTACGTCGACACATTGAGAGTGTTCACAGTACGAAGGAACGGCCACGGTTTCCTTGTGGGTTTTCTGGTTGTGGGAAAACATACCTGGACAAGAAGCAAGTATTGAATCAGTTTAGGATGGAACACGTCCCAAATCCTGTCCGATTCAAGTGCACGTTTTGTAGAAATGTTTTCAAGACCAGAAGTGATCTTGAGCGTCATATTGGAACCCACACGACGGAAAGGCCTTATCCCTGCCAAACCTGTGGGTCGAGATGTACGTCACATACCACTTTGAGGGCTCATGAGGTAAGGAATAATAATATTACAAGTAGAGTTGCCAGTGAGATGAGATGAGATGGCACCTAAATGAGATGAGACACATCTATGATGAGATAAGATGACGGTAAACTGAGATGAGACGTCTTATTTATGATATGAGATTAGTGTCGTGTGATGAGATCTATTAGTTGTTACGTGTCTCATCTCGTTTCATCTCATCTAGAGCTGTGCACGGGCCCGATTTTTAAAAACCCAGCCCGCCCAGAACCCTACTGGAAAAAACCCGGCCCGCCCGGCCCTACTGGGTTTTTCTGGAAAAAAAGCCCGGCCCGCCCAAAACCCTACTGGAAAAAGCCCAGCCCGCCCGGCCCTATAGGGCTTTTCTGAGAAAAAGCCCGGCCCGCCCAAAACCCTATAGGGTAGGGCTTTTTTACTGTAAACCCACCCATGTGCAGTTCTGCACGTATTTATCCTAAAAAACCAGCACTTGCTAAGGCTTTCGGAGACTCGATTAGACATGCACACTAGGTATTAATAAAAAATGCAATGGTGGACAAATCCAATGCATATTATTATCAATATTTGCTAAATTTGAGTTATTTTAGTTTAAACAAAAATTGAGTTAAGCCCTTGTATTTAATAGAACTGTATTTATAATTTGGTCTTAATCTCACTGATGTGATTTACAGTTGAGATTTATTTATTCATGAAATTGATTCGTGTAATGAAACAGCCAACCAGTGAAAACAACTCCATAGCATTACAGATAAACAATTCTGCTTTAGCTGGGGCTACATAAAACTATGAAGTTTTGTTTCAAATTGCCATATTGTACTTTATCACTAGGGTAAATTAAAAAGCCCGAAGCCCTACAAAAAAAGCCCGGCCCGCCCAAAACCCTACTGGAAAAAGCCCGACCCGCCCGGCCCGACTGGAATTTCCTGGGCAAAAAACCCGGCCCGCCCAAAACCCTATAGGGTAGGGTAGGGTAGGGTTTTTTTAGGGTAAACCCGGCCCTACGCACGGCTCTAATCTCATCTCATCTCATCTTATCTCATAAGTTAAGTGAGACGAGATAAGATGAGATTAAATTTTCAGTATCTCATTTAACTATCGTCTCACCTCACATGGTGGTGAGATGAGATGGGGTATATCTCATCTCGTCTCATCGGCAACTCTAATTACAAGGTTTAACTTAAGTATATGGACCATTATGTACAACTATTCAAAATATTGTCTTAGCGTACCCACTTGGAGAGATCGATCAGGACAACTTTCAGATGCCAATTTTGTCCTAGTACCTTCTTGCACAACAGCACGAAGTGGAAACACGTCAAGGCTTCCCATGAAAATCGGCGCTATCCCTGCAACATCTGCGATAAAGTGTACATGGCGTCAAACGACTTGAAGCGTCACGTTATATCGAAACACTCAAACATGTCCTCGCCTCCTAATTCTTGTGGTAAGTGCGAATACAAGAGTTGGAGCAAGCACGAGCTTACAGTTCATGTGAGGCGGGTGCACGACGGGGTGAAGAATTGTGAATGCTACTTCTGTGGAAAGAGGTTCTTTAGATTTGCACAATTAGTTGAACACAGTCGTCGGATTCATACTCTGGAGAAATAGGGATGGATTAATTAGCTTGAGCGACTTGATTATTTATTCAACTACTTATGTAACTCTACGACAAGTAATAAGTCCCACCTAAGGCAATTTTTTGTTTCTACTTTATTTTTATTTTTGTATCGGGTGAGTTAATACATAAATAATAATACTAAATTATAATACCCAAGTCATTACATACATAAATGCAGAATTTTATTATCTCCACAGCTATAAGTAAATATTTTTATTTCCTAAATATGTAAATCAGAGTAGGGAATTATGTAAGTTAAGTTTTAATTAGACAAAACGAAATTAATACTAGTGGCTAAATAGGTTTTCTATAAAAACTGATGAATTCCATTTAAATCCTAGTTTTCTCATCAATCCATTAAAAACTTGAATTTATTAAAGCACTCTGTAACACCTGCACAAAGCGATAGACAGATGAAAATTGCGTAAAGAATGAAAAGCATTTTTATCTGGGCCACATTAATGGGCTCCCCTTCTTTATACAGACCCACTGAATATTTTTCCTTCTTGGACAGAACAATATTTTGAAAATAGTTTGTATAGTTTACTTGAGGCCTTCCAATGGCCGCGTAAAAATTGTGATAACGTTTTATTTCGTTAATATATCGTAATAAACCTCGATTTGTTTCCCAATAGTTTAAAACTCCTGATTCCACCAAATAACCTAAATTTGTTTCAAAATGAGCTCCAAACAAGGTACGCCAGGTGACCCAGGGTACCTGATTCGTGTCCAAGTTCGCTTCGTTGTTAGGGATAATAAAATATTTTTTAAACACCCTTAAAAAAGTTTCGAATTTTTTAACCATTTCTGAAGGATCGACTACCGCAAATACAGAATTATCCCCTAAATCATAGGTGGTTGTGTTGGTAAGATAGAAAGGCTTATTTAGTGAGAAACAATACGCCATGCCAAATATGTTGTGATCTTTACGATATATGAGTTTACTTTGAAGTCCGGTAATGAGCTTGTAAAATCTAGGTGAGTATCCGGGTGCATTTTTCATCTGTTCGAGCACAGAGCCCTTTATGCAACTCACCCTGTCATTATTTTTATCTGCACTAAAAAACCCTGAGAAAGAATTCACTTTAACACTTCTGGAGGTGATCAACTCAGCCAAACTTCTTGGCAATTCTGGAGTTCTATTTGATGTGAAGATAGAATAAAATTCTCCACTAAACATGCTCCCAGCAATGAAGGCGTTAATCAGCCAGACAAATATGATAAGATGCGTGACAAGGACTCGTAACTTCGTAACCTTATATTTTTCCGGTTTGATAAGAACATTTGTACTTTGTTGGAGAAACATACTGACAGTCCACATAACCGGGACAAAAACAAATTTCTTGTTTAAAAAAATGAACAAGCTCAATAAGCTGCCTAAGAGTAACAAGAGTGAAGAGGTTAAAATATCAAAAATATTAAGCATCGCGTCCGCATTAATTTCTGCTGGCAGTGCGTACACTTTGTACACAACGTTGTCATAATATATTCCATGTTTTATCCAAGTATATCTAGATACTAATCCTCTGGCTGTAAATTTTTCCTCGATATCTTTCCAATTGAAGATTTTGTTAGAGTAAACATACCCCACCGAATATCCCATTGAGCTTGTCACGGTAAAGTTAAGTCGACCTTTTAAATCGGAAACTGGCCAGGTCGCTGGTGATGTATCCAAACCACAATGTCTCAAGTTGCAAGGGCTTTCCCAGAGCTTAAAAATCCCGAGGGGAGCAAATCTAATGAAATGTTGATTCATATCTTTGGTCAATCTCTTATAAAAGTGGGGTAGGTTGAGCATCTCGGATTTTTTGATATGTACAAGTTTATTTGCAATGGTGCTGTAATCTTTGGGACTCCTAATCTCCTTCGGTGGGGAACAAGTGTGGCATACGAGAGATATGACGGAATCAATTTTGTTGAAATGTAGGATGATTGAGGTCAGCTTAAAATACGGGTAATAGTAGAAATAATAATTAAAATGTTGTACTAACTGTGCAGGTTGGCGGCCTATTATTACAATATAATCAGGATCCTCGTTGAACGCCGACATTCCCAGTAGGATTGGGTTCCATGGAGGAGAAAACATTAGAGCAAGATGGCAATTTGAATAAATCTGATTGAACAGATAGTTTGGGTATGGGAAGTTTAGAATTATCCCGTCCTCATCGTACTTGGTAGAATTGGCGAGAACGTATCTGTTTGTTGGACTGTTGATATTTTCTATGACAAAATTGAAGCTGAGTTGGGAATTTAGATTTTCAAGTTGTTCTGGAATAAGATCCATGTTTGGGTAATCAGGCTTGTGGTAGAGTATTTGAGTTGTGCAATACTTGAGTGTTTTCAAAATTTCGGAGCGTGTACCAATGGTTGCTTCTGATGGTGATGTATTATCTTCTGCAAACGTAAGAGTATCTTGTGCAAAGCGGGTTAAAAATAATATTGAAAGTGAAGTTTTTATGGTACATTTCCTTGTAATAGACATGATTTCAGGTATAATATTGGCAATTAGGCTAAGGTCTTGTTGCAGCTTACAAACTTTAAAGGAGCTTTCTCTAAATGTGATTTATTCGACAATATTTAGCTAGATGTAGGTTCGCGTTATTTTTATGGTATTATATATTTCAGTTAGGATTGTCTTATATTTGGAATAAAACTGAAGCAAAAGCTTGTTTCTTAAAGATAAATGAGTAATGACGATTTAGAACTTTGCTACTGACTAGTTCCAAAACTGTTAAAAACCTTGGGTTGTATAAAACTTGTCTTGTAATCTGGCTGTTCTAGTTTAACTGAAATAATTGTAACCCCGATCCGGTTGATTGCCAATTTCATTTTGTTTTATTGCCTGAATGTAATTATGGAATAAAGTATTATTTGTTAACCGTATTTTTTTTTTCGTTTTGACACTATGTGATACATATTTACGTAAGTTTGTATATATTTATGAATTAATAGCTTTACAAAGTCTACAATTTATTACGATATACGTTTCAGGAGGTAGATTCTTACTAATATGTTTTATTTTAAATTGACTATGTTTGGTTATGTACATTTTATTAGTTCTATTTTTGTAAGCTTTTTTTGTTTTGGATAGTATGGTAGTTGTAGAAACTGGAACAAATGTGCAAATGTATGTACATGAACTAGGTTGGTTGGTTAGTTGGTAGTCATTTATTCACAATTATTCCTTGATCAGTACAATTTAATGACTGGTTTACATCAACTAGCACTAAAAGAAGCGATTGAGTAAAGAACTAACTACATAACGTTTATCTTATATTAGAAACCTTAATCTATATACTATGTCCCGAAAGTCCTTGAGTATCACGCTGAATCATCTCAACGATCTTTCAGCTACACAGAATCAGAATTGTTCGTACTATGTAACTTTTTTAAAAGTATACCAAAGTGCCTTTCGTTTAAATACTTTGAATGATTTCTAATTTCACCTTGCGATACACCAACTTGGCCTACATCCATACCCCAGAAAACTAACAACTGACCAAGACTTTGGTTGAATTTTGAACCTCGAATTTTCTGCCAGCCTTACAATTCACGCTAGGGACATCCTATCTGCCGTTCGATATCTCTAATATTGTGTATTTTAATATCCATCCATCAGATTTATGGTCCTAACTTTTAGCGAGGTATGGGACCATTTTGACTAAAATGCAGAAAATCCAGGTTTTTTCCAAAGATTTATTGGTATTTAGACCCATCTTCAACGTTATTTTAGATAAGAAGTAGCTTCGTCTGACCCCAATACGATTAGTTAGAAGATTCTGTTACCTTTGGGTGGCTTCGAACTCTAATGGAGAAGATATATCAATTATTGTTGAATTGCCGCAAAACCACTTTTTTGGTCGCGCAGTTTATTGAAGGAAATTATTATTTCTTGATTAAATTTAGTACTTTTTCGATGTTTTATTGTTAAGTGGGGTCTTACAAGTCGTCGTGACCATATTCGGTCTTCAGAACATTTTTCGTTGCTCCATGGTCTCGATATGTTTGAGTATGTCCCAAATTTGCGTTACCTGTAAACCTAGCTTGGATATTGCTCGTTTTAAGGTTTTCGCATACTCATTAGAATGGCCTATGATTGTCCTCATTGTGACCAAAAAATATCTACAATCAAATAGAAGATGTAGAAATTCCATGGGAATTGTTAGGTGCCATATTGATGCTCAAGGACTTTTGGGACACACCGTACATTAAAGTTAAACGATGATAAACCAAACAAAATTATTTTTTCGCTTTTTCATGACCACTTCGTGATCCGACTATGTACATTTCCCGAAATATTCACATCATTATCAATAATTTGTCGTATCATTTCTGTTTCTAGTGTACTCCAGATTTTAATTGTATAGTATCGAACTGAATTAGTAAACATAACGGAATTGTGTTGGAGTATTTGCGTGTTTTGGGAGCTTCTTATTTCATATCCTGTTTCTTTCAATATATACATACTATCAAATTCGTTAATATTAATTCCGAATTTTTTTATCCTGAATAAATTCCACAAAGTATAATAATCTAATCACTCATTAAGTGATTGGTTGAGTAAATCAAGTAAATTAAATTTTTCTAACAAATCGTCATAATTTATAGCATTGCGTAATTTTATGCACTCTACTCTAGCTTTGCTCAAAGCATTATTATCAGATTTACATTTCTAGCATGTTTTAGTATAATATTTAGATAATTTTGGGTAACAATAAGTAGCTAACGACTGATTTACTTTCGATTGTATTTGTGGTAATTCGCACTTCCTGCTCGGACCCCAAACTGTCAAACAATAATCGGTCACTGCATTTACATCTGCATTTAATAGAACAGTTAACATATGTTGTGTCAAGTGTCTTCTTAATCTACTCACTATTCCTACATTTACACAGTTCTTTTTTGCACACCTTCTGCATGATTTTTGAATGTAAAAAGTGTAAAAAGCCTGACATAAGAGGTGGATGGCGTGGAAAACAATCCAGAGATATGTTATCAGTTGTCGCGGTTTTTTGGTTTGAATGAAGAGACCACTCTCAGGGTCAACCGTTAGAAATAGACAGTTATAAAAGTCTGCAATTTTGAGGGAGCGTATAATCCGTTTGAATGCTTGGGAGAACATTATAATTTATTAGTCTGACTGAATTTCCTGAAGAGTGATTTATCTTTCCCAAATCTCGTTATAAGATGAACAGGTAATCAACTTATAAACGTTTTTGAATTACTTAAATCGGGCTTTTGAGAAGGTGCAAACAGTAGATGCATATTTTAAATAACAAACAATTTGTTACATGGGTTGAGAGGAAGTGTTGGTCCCTCAAAGCCCGGCCTATTCAAA